AGCACAGATAAACTCCGTGGCCAAACTAATTGCTAGAACCAAACACCCGGCAGACAAGACACACATAAAGACTGAACTATGTACCCTGACTAAAGTACTGACAGCCAATGGCTTCCACAAAAGCAAAATCACTGGCTTGATCCACAAAAACACACTGAGACATAATGGAGACCTAGAAAATGAACAGACCTATGGAACAGCTGTCCTGCCCTACATAAGAGGTACTACAGACAAAATCAGTAAGATACTACACAGGCATCACATCAAGACTGCCTTCAAAACAGACAGAAAAATAGCAGCCATCCTTAGAAACCCCAAAGATAAAATTGACCTGGAAAACCAAGGCATATATGAAGTCCCCTGTGCATCATGCCCGGCCACATACATTGGACAGACCAATAGAAGAATAAGTACCCACCTGGATGAACACAAAAATGCAGTAAAAAAGCTGGAACACACTTCCTCACTAGTCCAACCCATGAAAGCCACAGGTCATAGCATCAACTTCAATGGCACCAAAACCCTAGCCACTATAGAAAACCCTAGCCACAGAATTATCAGAGAAGCCATAGAGATTGAAAAAAGACCTGAAAGCATGAATAGAAGAGATGACTCCACCAGACTGTCATTTATTTGGAAGCCTGCACTCACAAACAAAAAAATCTCCACACCACTAGCCAGGCAAACACCTGGGCACAAACAGATCCCTCCTGATACCTCCAGCTCAAACACACCCCAACCAGGCACCCAGATGAAACCTAGCTTCCTAACAAATGATAGACGTCCATTTACTTGGAGCCAAGCTGCACTAAAAGCCTCCAATACAGGAACACAATGTTGCCAGCCAATCAAGACACCAAAAAAAGCCACAAAACAGACAGAAGATATTAGAAACACCAATCAAGCAGAACACAGCAAACTCCAAGACCAATAAACACAGACCAAGACTCCCAACCAATCAGGATGAAGAAAAAAACCATTCTGGCACAGCAGTAGGCTAGCCCCAAATTTAAAACTGAAACCACTGTAAAAGTCTGACTCATAGACGAACACAATACAGAAGCCTGATGATGGCAGATGAGATTCTGCCAAAACGTTGCTACAACTTTAAAAGCACAACTATAATGACATGGGAAAATACCTGAACAAAGCTGAATACCATATAGATATAGATATAGATATAGATATAGATATAGATATAGATATAGATATAGATATAGATATAGATATAGATATTTGAGGTTTTCGCGGGTATTTGTATGTGGATCTTTGGTTATTCGGGTTTTCTCCCGTGTAAAATTCTGAGAAGCACAAAGCCGAAGACACAAGCCTGAAGATGATGAATGAGACTTCATCGAAACGTCGCCTAGATACTTCCAATTTTATGTGGGAGAAAACCCGAATAACCAAAGATCCATATGTATGTATGTATGTATGTATGTATGTATGTATGTATGTATGTATGTATGTATATAGTCACAGTATTGTTCAGTTAATAATGGTATTATGTATAAACGGAAAAACCCAATAAAGTGTTGGAAAAAAGAAAAATGGTGGTGATAACTCACCATTCCTAACTTCCAACGGGTACCTCGCGAACTGTAGTAAGGAGAAGGCTACCTGTTCGATATTAGTCTCACTCTGCGTCCCGTGGCGATCGTGCCAGCGAGCGTTCTCCAAGCCAGCCTCGTGTAAGCCTGATCCAAAAGCGGCCGTGACTGCGCCAGCCCGGAGAGGCCCGCGCGCATCCGGGCCTGGTTAAAGGGGCGCCTCTTGCGCGAAAGCTACCCAGCCCTAAAGCTGCTTTGCCATCCCATAATCACCATAGAAGACCCATACACTGTATTATTTTTAGGTAATATTTTCCCCCTCCAGAAATTTGTGCTGTAAACTGGCCGGAATTTGTGGCCAGTTCAACAAACGGCGCAAAGTCTTTGGAAGCGGGCCGTTCCAATGGATCACCCTGCGCTTGTGGGAGGAGTGGGGGGGGGGGGGGGGGGTCTCCCAAGGACAGGAAACGACGCTTATTCCAAGAGGTCGGGAAGCACAGGGATGGGTTCGAGCCTTAGGGCTGCGTCCGATCCAAGTTTACCCCTCGCGGCGTGCAGAGCGGGAATTCCGGCCCAGAAGCGTTCGCCGGGCGCTCCCTCTCTCTCGTCCGGCTTTGACGACGGAGCGGATCGGCCCTTTTTTGGGGGGGGGGGGGGGGGGGGGGATGGGTTTCCAGAAAGAAAGAAAAAAGGCGGCTCTTATACCTACAGACCCCTCACCCCCTACGGACATAAAGTGTTTCAACTCCTTCCCTCAAAACGACGCACAGCAGAACATCTAGACACAAGGGGAGTCCCCCCCCCGCCCCGGCATGTCATCCCTCTGCTAAACACTTGGCCAATAAAGTATTGTATTGTATTGTATTGTATTGTATTGTATTGTATTGTATTGTATTGTATTGTATTGTATTGTATTCTGTTCTGTTCTGTTCTGTTCTGTTCTATTCTATTCTATTCTATTCTATTCTGTTACACCCTATGACTATCATTAGGTGTTGTACCTTATGGTTCCTGACTCTTGACAAATGGCTCTTTTCTTTTATGTACACTGAGAGCAGATGCACCAAAGACAAATTTCTTGTGTGTCCAATCACACTTGGCCAATAAAGAATTCTATTCTATTCTATTCTATTCTATTCTATTCTATTCTATTCTGATTCTGATTCTGATTCTGATTCTGATTCTATTCTATTGCACCCTATGACTATCATTAAGTGTTGTACCTGATGATTCTTGACTCTTGACGAATGTATCTTTTCTTTTATGTACACTGAGAGCTTCTGCACCAAAGACAAATTCCTTGTGTGTCCAATCACACTTGGCCAATAAAGAATTCTATTTCTTTTCTATTGCTGGAACCTTTCTTTAAAAATTAAAATCAAAACCCCGAATGGCAAAGTGAGAGAGGCAGGAAAGGAATACTCAAGCGCCATAAAATAAGAAGTTTTTTTTTAAAAAATACTTTTGCGGCTAGAAACAGGAGAGCGATAGGGGGAGTGGGCAGAAAAGTCATGGGGGGATTGAGAATTAGCTTCCCGGCTTTCAAAGCCGGCAGATCTGGGGCGCCAAGAGATCCAGGCGACGGAAAGCCTCGGATAGGGACTCCCTCTGGATCGCATCCCCCGCGCAAGCACTTTGGAGCTGGAAAGGAGGGGGAGGGCTAAAGGGAGGAGGAGATAGAGAGAGACACAGAAAGAGAGAGAGAGAGAAACAGAGAGAGAGACAGAGAGACACAGATAGAGAAATAGAGACAGAGAGACAGACAGAGAGACACACAGAGAGAAATAGAGAGAAACAGAGACAGAGAGACAGAGAGAGAGACAGAGAGAGAAACAGAGAGAGAGAGAGAGACAGAGACACACACACACAGAGAGAGAGAGAAACAGAGAGAGAGAAAGACAGAGAGACAGAGGGAGAAACAGGGAGAAACAGAGACAGAGAGACAGAGAGACAGAGAGAGAGAGAAACAGAGAGAGAGAAACAGAGAGAGAGAGAGAGAGAAACAGAGAGAAAGACAGAGAGACAGAGAGAGAAACAGAGAGAGAGAAACAGAGAGAGAGAAACAGAGAGAAACACAGAGAGAGAAAGACAAAGAGACAGAGAGAGAGACAGAGAGAGAGAAACAGAGAGAGAAACAGAGAGAGAAACAGAGACAGAGAGACAAAGAGCCTTATCAAGCGTTACCAACTATTTTGCCATTCCGTTTTTTACTGCTGGTAATTTCTAACCAGAGGTGACCGGGTTTTGTTTTGTTTTGTTTTTGTTCCAAATATAAACGGGTTCCTTTAAAAAGAACAAACCGTTTTCAAGTGGATTTGGCCCCCTTAAAAAAAAGAAAGAAAAGGACTCGGAGGTTAACTATAAATAGTGTCTCCGAATTTGTTCCCTTTCTCATCCGAATTTCCAGCATAGCTGCCAATGTTAGGATTAATTTGATGGGTTTTTTTTTTAACCCATTAGCCCTTAAAAAGGAATATTTAAATGAACAAAATGTAAACATGCACAATATAGTCCCTATTTATACCGCACCGAAGAATCCAAATTGAAGTTTTTAACGCTAACATCAGTTGGACGGGATGTAGTTGGAAAGGATTTCTCGATTCAAAACGGTCCACAATAATCGGGGAGAGGGGAACAAATTTATCTTCATCCGAGAATTAAAACAGAATTAAGCTATAATAGGATACAGTATTATTTTAGGATAATTCGAATACAGCATTCAAGAACAATTCGGGATAAACCAAAATCCTTAATTCGCGTTGCTTTGCTTTTTTTCCAAACATACTTTTTGCATCATAAATTAACAACCACCCCAAAATAAAAAATAAAAATAAAAAAATATCGCACATGCTTTGTTAAAGGGATGGCAGCCCTTCCCAACCGAAGCGAAGAGACAAACGCGCGACGAACTACTATCCGTTCCGAAATTGTACTTTGAAGAGCGGGGTTCGTGGTCTGGGAAAAAGAACCGAGTCGGCCATTGGAAAGCAACTCGTTTGGCTTAAGTCTTAATTTCGCTTTTGTTAGTTAAAGGCTCGCCAGAGACAATCCCCCCCAGGATAAAAGGCTGAAGTTAGAGAGTCTTCGCAGCGGGCAAGAGTTCAAAGGCAATTCTAGATTATTATTCCCCGCCCCCCCCCCCCCACCTTCTCGGCTCCGCCAAAACCACCGGCTGGAACAGCCCCCCCTGTCTGAAATGGGATAGAGTCTCCGGCTTGAGTCGTGGGGTTGGACTAGATGACCTCCAAGCTCCCTTCCAGCTCGATTTTGGTTGGTTGATTGAACCAGTAGAATGAAGTTGTGGATGCTCCATCCTCAGTGGCGGTTTTAAAGATGAGACTTGGACAGTCGCTTGCCTGGAATCCTGTAGACTTCCTGCTTGAGCAGGGGCTGGACTAGAAGATCTCCAGGGTACCTTCCACAGCTCTCTTCGGATCAAAAGGGGCGGTTTTAAACCAGGCCGCTGACCGGCGCCCTCAAGAACGGGGCCGCCGCCGCCGCCGCCGCCCCCGGGAAGGCGCTCAGCGGATAAGCCACCGCTCCCCCTGCAAGGCTGAGCAGCGGGGGCGGCGGGGGCGGCCCGTGGGGGGACAGCGGCAAGGCGGCCAAGGCGCTCCCCGTCAGCGAGCTGTCGTGGTACAAGACCGGGACGCGCACGATCCGCTGGGCGGTGGAAGGAGGCAGCTGCGCGGCTTCCAGATCGGCGGCCAGCTGGCGCTTCCATTTGTTGCGCCGGTTCTGGAACCAGATCTTGACCTGCGTCTCGGTCAGGCGCAGCGAGGCGGCCAAGCCGGCCCGCTCCGAGCTGCTCAGGTAGCGCTTCACGTCGAAGGTGGACTCCAGCTGGAACACCTGGCTTCGGCTGAAGACGGTGCGCGTTTTCTTCTTGCGCCCGCCGCCGCCGCCGCCGCGCGCCTCGCCTCCCGCCGCCGCCTCCTCCGGCTCCTCCGGACGCCGCTTGCTCTCGCAGACGCCCCCACCGGATCCGGGACGCCCCTGGCCGGGCTCTTCGCTCTCCTCGACGGGCTTGGGCTGGGCTGTCCCGCGTTGCTGGCCGCTTGCCTTCGGCTGGGGGGCTCCTTCGGCGGTGATCTCCGGAGAGTCCCTGTCGCTGGCTGGTTGGGGAGAGGGGGGCAAAGGGGGGCAGAGAGGGAGGGAAGAGGTCAGTCAGTCCGCAGTCGTCGAGGGGGGAGGAAAAACCCACCCCCGTCAATTCACACACGCCACGCGCCCGCAGCCCGACCCTCTCCAAGCCCAAGTTGGGGTTGGCACCGGAGCAGGACCCCGTGGTGGGCGCTGCAGCTCCGTTTCCACCCCTCCCCCAAAGAACCAGACCTCTCTTCCAAGCCAGCCTCGCAGAACCTTGGGCTGCGCTCCGGCAACGGGACCCCCGTTTTGGGTCTCCAGCGCTCCGGTCCCGCAAGCAGCCGGGACAAAGGGACCGGATTTGGATTGTCGGGGTGTGGGGAGGGGGCTGCAGGAAAAGACCCCGCTTTCCTACCCGCGAACTCTCTCCCACTCCCGGGAAGGCCCAGGCCTCCACGGAATGGAACGGGAGACCGAACCTGGTGTCGCCTCTGCTCTTCGGCCCGACGACGGGGGCTTTTCAGCAGGGTCGGAAGGTGGGGAAGGGCGCAGATCTCGCTCGCCCGGCCGGGCCCGGGGGGAGCGGGAGACGGGGGCGCAGGGCGCGGGACTTACTTTCCGGACTGGCGCAGCTCCTAAACGCCTTGCGCGCCCGCCGGTACCACTCCAGGGCGTTTTCCCGCAACGGCGAGCTCAGCTCCAAGCGGGGTCCCCCCGGGGTCCGGCAGCAGGCGAGGGAGCAGGGTCGGCCGGGCTGGGCGCGGGGCACCGCCGAGGTCTCCTCTGGGGCCTGGCCCGGGCCGGCCTCCCTCTCCTCCTCCTCCTCCTCCCCCTCCTCCTCTTCTTCCTCGTCCTCTCGCCGCCGCCGTTTCGTTTGGGCCGCCAGCAGGTTGGCGATGAAAAACGAGGACACGCGAGCCGAGGCGGCCTGGACGTTTCCCGACGCTTGGTCCGGCATCCTGGAACGAGGATGCGGGCAGCCGGAGCCGCTGCGCGCGAGGCCGGCCGCTTTCAGGATACGGGAGCCCGGCCGAGAAGAGGAGCCGTTCCGGAGGATCGCATCGCCCCCTCAAGCCAGCCAGCCGGCCGGCCGGCCCGACTCGCCGCTTGGCCCGAGGCACAAGCCAGCCCGAGAATGGGGCGCGCCGGGGCTGCCGCGCCCTCCCCCGCTCCCGCTTCGCCGATTTAGGTCAATTGGGCAGCCAGGCACCGGCGGGAGGCGCCACGCCGGGAGGTGGAGGGGGGAAGGGAAGGGAGGGGAGGGGGGCCGGCCCTCGTCTGCCGCTCTCATTGGTCAATCGGGGGGGGGGGGGGGGGGGGGGGGGGGGGGGGGGCCGCCCGGGCCCGCCGCCCGCCGGGGGGGGGGGGGGGGGGGGGGGGTTGGAAGAAGACAGAGGGATCTGCCGAGCCCGCCTCCCGCCCTGGGGAAAAAATAAACTAAAATGAAATGAAAAGATGCGCCACGCTCGCCACGCCCCTCCAGCCCTTTCCCTTGCTCCATTTCCCACCGACCCTCCCCCACCGACCCCGGTTCTGCGGCTGCCGCGCGCGCCAGGCGGCGGATTGGGGGGCGAGCGACCTCCTCTCTCGGGCTCCGCAGCGGAGACAGCCCGTCGGGAGGGTTGGGAGACGCGGACGCGTCGTGGAGACCAGCCTGGGATCTTCCGCGGGGCCCGGCCACGGTGGGGGTGTCCCTGGGGGGGGAAGAGTGGGAGGGCGGCTCCCCCCCCCACTCTTCCTCCCCCTCCCCCAGGAACGGAGGCTGGAGGTGGTGGGCCGGCAAGGAACGGAGCTCTCCGCGGGCGAGTGCTGGCCGGCTTCCCCAATGCCCACTTTGGGACGCCGGTGGGAGCCGCAGCTCGTCCTTGCTTTGTCCCGGCCCTTTCCCGGAGCCTGGGGCGGCCGGAGGGTCCGGACAATGCCCAGAGGGCGTCCGCGGGAAGTCAGAACGGCCGGGCGGGTGGGAACTACGGTGGGAACGATGCCCTGTGGGGACCGGAGGCGTCTCCAAGGCGGCCCCGGGGGAACCAGGT